GGGGGTGTTTGCAAGTGCTTCAGACGATGGTTGCGCCCAGAGAGTGCATGCGGTCTTTTGAGCTTCCTGAACCCCGCCTTATTGTTTGAAAGGCATGTTGGAGTCGACCGCGAGATGAAATACAGGCAAGTTGGTGAGAAGAACGGGACGACAGTGTGCAGGTGCTTGTATTCCCGGCAGCTTCCAAAGAAGACAAGCGAAAGAGGACTTACGGACTAGCAACACACTGCCGATGATGGAGACGATGCAGAGTTAGAGAGATTATTGAATCAAGAATCCGAGCGCAATCAGAGAGCTGCGTTCAAGGTGCGCGCGTAATTGTTCGGGTTTTGGGTTTGGCGGTTCGCAGGGCTCGTGTATGGTGGGCGTAAGGGCGTAGGCGAGAAAGCCAAGAAATACCTTCAGAGTATCTAAAGGCTAGCACTCGGCTTGATGGATAGTTAGCGTCGCCGAGTGAAAGTGTTGGGCAGAAGTCAGTATTTCAAGGATGAAGGTCGTTGGCTGAAGGTTGAAGAATGGATGAAGGGAAAGGGTTCCTGCTTCAAGAGGCAAGGCAAAGGATACAAACCTTGATCAAATTATCTTGAAAGATCACAAGATGATCTGAGTTGATAGAGCGGAATGGCCCAGAGGGTCAAGGTTGAAGAGTGGTCAGTGTTAGAGCATAAAGGAAAGAAATAATGCTAACTCCAAAGGGCAGAAGATAGAAAGAGAAAGTAGAAGAATCTCGGTTACTGATTCAAAGCGACGAAGATGCAGGTATGGCAGGTTAGCGTTGTCAAGCTTGAAATAGTGCAACGGACACTCGTGGTTGAATTGTTGTTGAAGGTCAAGGAAAGGCTGCCTTAGTACCTAGCAACAAAGCAGCACTGGGGTCAAGCCATCGACTTCAAGAAAAGAAGGTAAGTGAAGAATCGCTTTGGCTTGACGGTGCTAGGCACTTGTCTCAAGAAGGAGAAGAGAAAAGGCTGAAAGCAGAGCACAACAGAAAGGGGATATCAGAGACAGTTCCTTGCAAGTGATTGGCAGTGATTCACTTACCATTGTGAGAAGTGAGTTCAGCAGTGACCAGTAACTGATAGAAGAAGGATAATGGTAACAATAATGCTTATGAAAAATTAAAGTTGATCAATTGTGAAGGATGAGATAATGGTAGTTGGTTCAAATATATGTTAATTTCTTACGTAAAGACCCATTGATCCCACGAGGCAATCACGACAATGCCTCCTTCCTCAACTGGCAGTACTCTGATTCCAGAACTTACATAATAATTTGGGCATAAGATTGGAAATCATGGCCTCTACCCCAAGAATGAAGTTGTTGGATGCAATAAAGGCTTCGTTTCCAGAATGATACGCATTTCAATTCGGTAAGGTCGGCAAAGTTTATGTCTAATGTCGTTATCTTGAACCTCCTTCCTCACCACGGCATGAGGCTCGCCTATCAGAGCCTCCGCAGTTCAATGCTGTCACGAATGGTTGATACATTTTGCCTGGTCACAGAAACATTGCGACAACCGACACTCCCAAGCAAACTCCGAGCCTCAAACCAGCTGAGGGGTTTAGTCAAACTGCCGAGGTCAGTAATCTCATAGGTTGTGGTAATTGTGATTGGATCATTCTTACAGGTGTAAGGAAAGACTCGGCCACGAATCGTGCTCGAGCGTTCAACTATGACAAGTTAGCATGGAGTTGCTTAGGGTTACAGTCCAACTACTCACAAATAGCTTCATCTCAGAGATCTCCTTGTCAACCTCTTCCATAAACTGAATAATAAAGTCGACAAGCTTGTGCTTCAGCATTTCCTCAGTGTGGAAGTTTGTTATCAGGAAAGAAATGTCATAACCCTACAACAACAACGTCAGTCAGGGGTAACTCAATTGAGTATCGCACGACCAGTAACCGACCTTGATAGGTTTCCTCCGCAGAATGAAGAAGGACTCTGCACGTTGCGTCAAGAATCTTGTAAACTTGTGGACCAGAATATGCTCAATTTCGTCGGCCTGCTTGATCTTGATGCTGATACGGACGGAGTTGATGCTGGGCTCAATCAAGACACGCTCGTTCTCGTTGCGCGCGATGGTCAAGGGCTGAAGTAGGACCTCGGGGGACGTCTGGGCCTCAATCTCCGGAACGTTGTGTCGCTCGGCGGTCTGGGAAGCAAAGTTGGACAGTGTGAGCGCGGCGGTCAAGCTGCTGCGTACGCATTGCAGGTAGGGTCGGAGGGATTGAGACTAAGCGGGGGATAGCTGTCAGCTTGCGGTCTGGATCGTGAGATATCATTGAGCATGTACCATGACAACAAATACCTCCTCAGACGTCCTCAATCAACTAGAAATAGCACGAATTTAGATGTCGACGGTGAACACGGAGCTCGGCGGGGTTGGTCGACGTTGACGTTGGAGGTTGGAGCTTCGGCGAGGTGAGGCGCAGTTGTTAGTGAGGCGTCGCCAGGCCTGACGTTTCCCGTGTCTTTAGGGTGGGGCGATGATGGGGGAAACTTGGAGAGGTTCACGTGTGAAGCTTGAGCCTCAAGAGACGCCTGTGGCTTGATAACATCATAGCCACAGCTCTCTCTCTGGTTGCCCCGCGGAAGCTACACCGCTTTCCCCACTAACATTTCGCCTTCGTCCAGGTACCACTTGGTGACGCACCTCTAGCATCTTCCACGCCTCGCCAACACCGACCTTGAGCAAAGGGACGCTGACTCAGGACGTTTTCTTTTTCTTCTGCTATTATATTGTTCTTTTAGATCCCTCTTTCACATAACCTCCGAATAGAAGGCATCCAGTGCCTGGGCAGACTCAAATTCGTCCTACTGCACCCCTCCTTCGACGCTTGAGCTTCGATAGACCGAAACCATGTCATCCATATCAGGTCAGTAATTTTCCATGCCCGCGTTTTCACGATCTCTAGCCCAACTGCACAAACAGGTACTGACCGACCATAGTCGTGGTGAAACACCAAGGCAAGAAACACGATGTCGAGATCGACCCCAGCTCCACTGGCGAGGACTTCAAACTCCAAATGTTCAGCTTGACCAACGTCGAACCCGAACGCCAAAAGATCTTGCTCAAGGGTGGTCAACTCAAAGATGATGCCGATATGAGCAAACTCGGCTTGAAGAACGGCCAGGTCATAATGATGATGGGTACCCCAAGCGCTGGTGGTGACGCCCTTGTCCGACCAAAGGAGGCGATCAAGTTTGTCGAGGATATGACAGAGGCTGAGCAGGCTCAACAAGTTGGTGCGACACCCGCCGGTCTTATCAACCTTGGAAATACATGTTATCTCAACTCAACCCTCCAGACTCTACGTCTTATTCCAGAGCTCCAGGAGGCGCTCGACACGTACCAGCCCGATGGCAACGCCAGCAGCTTTATGATGACAGGCACGAACATGGACTTGGCATCTCAACTGTCAAGCTTGTATAAGAGAATGGGAGAAACCCAGGACTCCTTCCCTCCCATGAACTTCTTGAACGCTTTGCGAGTGGTATTTCCCCAGTTTGCGGAGAAGTCCAAGACTGGACAAGGCTTTGCTCAGCAGGATGCAGAGGAGGCTTGGTCCCAAATTGTGCAGCAACTTAACCAGAAGCTCCGCATCAAGAGCGAAAACGCCTCGGAGACCTCCTTCGTGGAGAAGTACATGTCTGGCGAGTTCAGCTCGGTAATGGAGTGTGATGAGGAAGAGGCGCGCAATGCTGGCGAGCAGCCCATCACTAACAAGGAGAGCTTCGCCAAGCTCAACTGCCACATTGACAGCTCAACAAATCATCTGCGAGATGGCATTGCCGCCGCCCTGAAAGAGAGGCTTGAGAAGCAGTCGGAAGTTCTGGGTCGTGACGCAGTCTACACGAAGACTTCCAAGATCTCTCGGGCTCCTAAGTACCTGACAGTGCACTTTGTGCGCTTTTTCTGGAAGCGAGAGACTCAGAAGAAGGCCAAGATCATGCGAAAGGTTACTTTTCCCATGGAGCTTGATATTGTTGAGTTCTGCTCCGACGAATTGAAGAAGGCTCTTGTTCCTGTGCGCGACAAGGTTCGTGAGATTCGCAAGGATGAAGAGGATATCGAGCGGGCCCGTAAGCGACGTAAGAAGACTCACGATCAGGACGTCGGCGATATCCCAGGCGGTGCTGGTCTTCCCACCGAGAAGGAGAAGAAGGAGGCCGAGAAGAAGGAGGCCGAGAAGAAGGAGGGCAAGTCAGCAGATGGCGACGTTGTCATGGGCGAGGAGGGCGAGACATACAAGACAGACGCCGACATCGAGGCCGAGAGAAACGCTTCCATTCTTGAGGCCAAGAAGGAGCTCAACGCTCTCATCAACCCCGAGCTGCGAAACGACGATGGTGCCAATCAGTCTGGTCTTTACGAGCTCCGAGGTGTCGTGACACATCAAGGTGCCAGCGCCGACAGTGGCCACTACACCTCGTATGTCAAGAAGGCTGCGCCCGTTGATCCCAAGACTGGCAAGAAGGGTGAGGAGGACGGCAAGTGGTGGTGGTTCAACGACGACAAGGTTTCAGAGGTTGAAGCTGAGAAGATTGCGACTCTCGCCGGTGGAGGCGAATCTCACTCTGCTCTCATCCTCTTGTACCGAGCCATTCCTCTGCCCACTGCCGAGGGTGTCCTGGAGTAAAAAGTGCTACTAGGGCGGGCTTCACTAGAAGTATATGGCCACCTGGGAATGGTGCTAGATGATTTGATGAATAAAAACGGACAGGAGCATGGCATGGCATGGCAGGGCGGTCAGGCGTAGGGAGAAGGCATGACATGTAACTCAATCAATAAAACGTTAATTAAACAAACATATGTCTCGGCGGAAGCTTTTAATCCTTTACACCCTCGAGGTTCGTTCTATGATGTATGTTTATTAGATGCCTATGTCCAGTAAACCACCTTTTAGCCATCCATAACGCCTTTGCTTTGTTTCCAACAAGATGCCCATAGAGTTACAACACAATAATACACCCGCACCAGTCCATTAACCTTGCCAGAGTCATGGGCCTTCCTTTTCTCTTGCCTTCTCGGCCTCGCGTTCCTTGACACGCACTTCGAAGTCATCCATTTTCCTTTGGAGTACAGCCTTTTGTGATAATAAAGTTTTTCGCTGGGATAGGAGAGCAGCTATTTGTTCGTTGGGGGATGTCGCCCGAAACTCTTGAATTGCCTGTCTCAGTGATTAGTCAGGTTCTTTGTGATTTGTTCTGTTTGCCATACCTCTTTCTTCTCGTTGTCTGTTTTTAGTTGTGCACCCGTGATGGTGCCAGCAAAAATGCATGCCGCAAAGGCAACAGCCCAAACACCGCGCTTGAACTTTTCTTGTCTTGTCCACTGATACACCGCCATTGTATGCGTTATTATTGCCCAGTAGGTCGTTCGTATTTATCACCAGTATCCCTTCCAAATCTCTTCTGAAAGCTTACTACGCTGTCGGCGTGACAGCTGGTCAGCAGTAAAATATGAGCCCGATGTCGAGGAGGACGAATTCGTGGAGCTTAGGGTCGGTCGTGATGGATTGAGCGGCAGTGGAGACAAAGTTTTTGATCTGGAATCAAGGCATTGAAGCTCAATCGGAGGAGTCGACGGTGTCGGATGTTCAATAGAGTCGGAGGCGGATCGCCGGGTCACGGTCACGGAGGAGGAAGTATCGGCATCACGGAGGTTGGGCGCCGAGTGGATCTTTTGCGGTAGCGGTGGCCTTACTAAGCAGGGAGTAGTGGGTGTAGTGGGGATGAGGGGCATCGTGGGGGAATGAGATATCCTTGATGTCACGGCTTAGGGAGGTTGAGGTCAGAGGGATTCTGTAAAATATTGGTAAGGATTGGTAAGATTATAAAGATTTGACTTGACATTCGTAGGTACTTGGGTTTAGAAGGTGAAGAATTGGGTTACAAGGAGATGAACAAAGAAGGTCGGAAGTGAAAGAAATGGAAAGTTTTCTCATGTTCATACAGAAGGAACGGTAATGGATGATTGACAGAGTTTATCGAGACTCGCAAATTACATTTTTGGGACATTTGCACCTGGCGAGGCTATCATTCACGGCTGTTTATTTATCTAGTCATCTCTCATGTGCCTTAGTTAGGTACTATAGTTATCGTGTTCTCGTGAGGATAAAGAGTTTCACTTATTGTTTCGACCACGACCTTATCTCACCTAGGTACAGAGTAATACTTCAAGTAGAGACGCAAGCTGATACGCCCCATGGAAGGACACGCGTAATTTCAACCACTGTGATCAGGCAAGCGACAGAAGCGGCCGCCGCATAATAGCAACAGCATTTACTCTGCAAGAAGGACCCTTGAGAGTCTAGGTAGTCCAAGGTAGGTACCCTGTGGGTTAGGTTCTTTCCAAAAATGGGTGAGTGTCACTAGGTACTAAGGTAACGTTGAAAGAACGTCAATGGGAAGGGACTACCTTACCCCTCCACATGGTACCTGACTGATGAGACAGTGGGTTTGTCACCCAAACGTAATCCATCCACTTCATCCTCAACACCAAAATCAAGGTTGGAGATAATCTATTTGCCATCTTTCCTCCTCCTTTTCTAGGTGGAGATTTGTTTTTCGTTTTTGTTTTCTTGCCTTAACAATCTCTTTTCGTGTGAAATAGATTACCCGCTACTTCCATTTCATCCACAATACCTCTCAAAACGTTGACGTGGTTCGTTTGACCCCGCCATCACCAGGCCACTGTCACGTCAGATCATATTCCTTCTGACCACTCGACAAGCTTGGCTGACACCTGATACAGAATTCTTCAGAGTCTCACGGGCTTGATATAGTCTAGACGCTTGGCACTGCTACTGGGTTAAAGTCAAGTGAATTCGCAGAATTCCCCATCAAGTTCCAAACATTCCAAATATGTCAACTCCGCGTGTCTTTCTTATTCGCCACGGCGAGACAGAATGGTCACTTGATGGCCGTCATACTGGCTTGACTGATATCCCACTCACTGCCAATGGCGAGAAGCGTGTTAGAGCTACAGGAAAGGCTCTTGTTGGGCCGGATCGTCTCATTGCCCCCAAGAAGATTGCTCACATGTAAGTCTCCTTCAATTGACGATGATTTCCAAACAATCAGTATGAGAGTACTCCTGGCAGGGCCTCATGTAGAATGAATTTTGCATTGAAGTCTTGCCAGCGAGTTCGGAATTCCAATCGCGTCGCATTATCACCAACCAAAGTTGATTTTATCTGATCTAGAGTGAACTAATACGCTGCCCAGCTACGTTTCACCACGAAAACGCGCCCAGCGTACATTTGAACTTCTCAACCTCGGGCTGAACCGCCCTCTTCCTTGGACACCTCACGGTGCTCCTAATGGTACTGGCCTTCAATGTGAAGCCGAGGTGGAGGTTACGGACTACATCCGGGAATGGGACTACGGTGACTATGAAGGAATCACAACACCTGAGATTCGTAAGATCAGAGCTGAACAAGGGATCAAAGGGTCCTGGGACATCTGGAAGGATGGATGCCCTGGCGGGGAGTGAGTATTTGTCTAAACCTGGCTACCCTATATTTGCTCATCAACGTCCAATGGTTCTTCTATCTAACACTTTCACAGGGCTCCCCACGATGTGACCAGAAGACTTGACCAATTGATAGAGGAGATTCGTGAGAAATATCACAAGCCAGCCATGGACAAAGGAAGCGATCAATGCGGTGACGTGTTACTTGTTGCCCACGGACACATCTTGCGTGCCTTTGCTATGAGATGGGCTGGCTACGCTTTACGAGAAGGACCAACTTTCTTATTGGAGGCAGGTGGTGTTGGAACACTCAGGTCAGTCAACGGGGCTTATTTCTGCTTCATGTGCCCAATTCACTGACAACATACAAGCTACGAGCATCATAGAATCGAAGAGCCGGCCCTTCTCCTCGGTGGCGCTTTTGTCGTTGAACTTGACGGCCAAGATTAGCCGCTTGTCAAGACCAACATCTTTCAGGAATTGGCATCCAAATGGTTTCCTAGAGCATAGAATTGATTGTTTAATGAACATATCTTCGGATCGCACCAGCAGCTGAGCCAAGTCCCCCCTAGTCCAGAGATGGTAACTCATAATCTCCCGACGATCAGACCCCAATGATATTGCATCACTCGGTCACTACTCCGTACAGGACCAACAGACGTTTCAATAATCGAAGCTGACCTCGCACAGACAACGGCAGGGCTAATGTCATCGATACGTATCTCGTGCACTTGAGCTGGCGCCTTCGACGGAAATGACCAGACCTCCGCTCGGTGGCACCAGGGTCAACAGTAAAAGTGTGTTTCACACTTATTTACCAAGAGTCGCCTAATGCCTTTTAATAACAAAGGGCGTGGCCAAAAGTACTTCAACAGAGCAAAGCCTTGTTGCACGAGTTGGGAGACCCTTGCTATGGGCGTTCTGGAAGCGCGGATGAGGCTGAAGGGGCGACTCTCACATGATATCCTTTTCCCGCCTACCAGACACGGGATCGCACCGCCCCGGACAAGCCATTTCCCTCCCTTCTCGTCTTTTCTTCTACCGACGACATCTCTAATTTCCCATAGCCTGCTTCGACTATTCATCGACTAATGTGCCAAGAATGATTCACTTCATCCCTTGACATCGAAATTGGCTTGGCTGCTGCCGGAAGAATGCATCCGTACACCATTACCTACGGCTCCTCCTCCGGACAAAGCTTTTTTCGACCGCAAGGGCGGGACGGGACGGTCCAGTTGGGTATAAGGGTGTGAGGGAAAACTTGAAGGGAGAGGTTTCGTCGGAAGGAGTCGTTGCTAGGGCGAAGGGCTGACTTACTCACGCCGGACTAGTAGTAGCCTCCGGTCACGAACGGTTGTTTTACTAAAGCATGACCGGACTGTTGGATCAGACGGGCTGTTTCTGGGCTGTAATTGGGCTTGTAATATGAACTGAGTCTCGTTATTCATTCCAGTGTCTGGTGGCTGATGTAACGCCAGTAGGAGCACTGAGGAAGCTGGGTACCCTGGATAGACAGGCTTTGACTACAACAGCTGTACAGAGTAGATGGCTTCAGATTACCATTGTTCTAGGAACTACCACTGATCACGTATGAGACACATCGTCGGAGAGATATTGTGCAATTATAGGTGTCAGTGTGACTTATTATTTACTCAGCTAAGTAATGATACTGAACAAGATGCCGGAAGCCGAATGCCAGAATGACAACCATCGGCACCTTGCGCCGTGAACTACTGGTGCTGTACAAATGGCTCTGGTGCATCCTTGAGGGCTATATACTTGCCTCTGGTGCTGGGTGACGTATTGTTAAGGGCCGGCGAGTAGGCACTCTTTTATGGCTTGAACGCTCTGGCAATGAATATCCTCTTAGTCGTAGTTGAGCCCTTCTTCATCCCGTGGCCTTGAACATGTTCGCCACTGCTGCTTCGGTTGTCCTCATTGTGCTCGTGATTATGATCATGGCCATGACTATGACCATGCCCGTGGCTATGATCGTGGCCGTGACAATCCTTGAATGTGATAGGTTCCGGGAGCTCTTGGTAAGCAAAGTCTGTGAGTCCAGCATCCTCAAACATCTTCTTGATCTCATCCTCAATAAACCCATGATGTGTTATACCACGCAGAGCGGCATCCTTGGGGTCTATCTTGTGGGCAACAAAGTCAATGATGAAGAGGACACCGCCTGGGTTGAGGCGCTCGGCCAATTGCTTGGATGCTAGATCGGGCTTGTCAAAGTGGTGGAATCCGAGCCCCACGCCTGCAACGTCGAATCCGAAGAACTTGCTATCAGCAAAGGCTGTTGGGGAGGGGTCCTTAGGATCAGCCAGATTGCCTTGGTAGGCTTGGCAGGAAGAGCCCTGTATGCGGTTAGGATATTCAGGTCTGTTTGGAGAGCTTCAAGGGGTTCGAATGCGTGGTAACTGAGTTTCATGCTCATGCGATGGACTAGTGGATAGTACTGACATGGCTTTGAGCCTGGGCGTTGTATACCCTGACCATTTCCTCCGACAAGTCAATGCCTATAGCCTCACTTGTATGCTGTGCTAAGACCTGCAACTCACTGTCAGTCCAAGTCAACGTCTCGGAGCTCATCTCTTCTGGGAGGGGAAACTGGTACCCTCGAAAGCATGCCGGTGCCACAAGCGTAGTCTAGCAACCTCGCATCTTGCTTGACACCAATGAATGGAATCCTCTCTCGGATGCCGCGCTCTAGCTGCACAATCGCATCCGCATTGCGCTGGTCATATTCGGTGGCGATCTTGCTATAATTGTACTACATTAGCGACGGACTTTGGGTGAATTGTGTAGCACTGCATCGCATGCCGTAGTGTGCTCTGCTACCTTGGAGCATAAGAAAAGACGACCAGTAACTTAAGCAAACCGCACGAGCCTAAAGGGTTTGGCAACGATCATCCTGTACAGGGAACAAGCGCTCATTCATTATACGCACCCAAAATAAGCCTGGTTTTCGGACACGACGTCGGTCATGGTTGCCACGTCGGGATCGGTGCTAGGTGAAACAGTGACCAAGTTGTACAGGAGGATGAGCAAGTATGGTTGCATAAGACAAACGGTGATTGTCGAGAGCCTGAATGTGGTTTCACAGAGTCGAATGCGGTTGATGCGATGTAAGACAACCCTCTGTCGACTGCTCAGTTTGGCTGTCTTATACAAGCTGCAGCGGGGACTTTTCGGGCAGTTAATTTCGTGTCGCAGACATATATGTTCGCAGAGTTTTGAACGATATCTCCGCCATCCATTGTCAAGTCGCCGACCAAAAAGAAAGACCCCGCACTTGATTGAGGGTTGTTCTGACACTGGTAATGCAGTTTTGCTCTATGACGAGTAAAACAGCGCAGCCAGATCTCCCGCCCGTTAGGTTGGTTAGAGGCTCAGAGCCAAGCTCGATCCATTGATAGCAACTACACCGCAACAAACGGCGCAGTGCAACTTGCACCTGGTGGTCGATGAAACATGTTCCTCAACTTGTCTGGGTTGGAGTGATACAGCAGCCATTCAATGATCCGTTCATTGTAGAACACTGCAGATGCCTTGACAACAAACGTGGCCGCCCTGGACAGGTTGTGCTTGACGATTTGACTGGGTACGTGCAGTAGAGAACTTTTAAGTACTCAAACCAGGATCGAATTGCGGGTGATCCGTGATCCTGCGGCTGCACGAGCGCACCGGTCCGCCGACCGTGAGGTGTGCACTGATGGTACAATTAAGGCATAGTTAGTACCTACGTATCGAAAAGTACATGACAGTCAGTGATCACAGTCGTGGTCGTATTGCAACCAAGAAATAGTCATGTAAACAGTTGACTGCAGGCATTCCCCGTCCCCTATCCCATTCCGATGCTCCATCTGTGTACAAAACAAGGCCCCAGGTGTCACGGTGTCAAGGGCCATGCAGCCGTTTAACCAGCAAAGTGGTACGAGATGGCATCCCGCCTTGTGAGCCCTGGATATGCACAAAGCCCAAAGAGAAGAAAGGGCGGGGTTTCACCTCGCCCAACGCTGATCGCTGGGCCTGCAAGGGATGATACAATCCCGCAGAAGCTCCTTTCTTTTGAAGCGGTAAGAACGACGCATCTCGAGTGCTGCAGTAGATAGGTCATTCCAGGAAAGGCGATGTGCATCTACCTACTGTCTCAGGTCTGTTTGCCTGCCCCTGGCCGGCAGTTCTTTTGTTGACCACTCTGACCACTCTATCACTATTTGTATGTCTTACGAGGGTGCTGATAATAATTCCGCCAAAGTAGTTTCGCCCGCCCGACTGGGATACGAGCCCGGCACAACGCAAACGAATGAAAACGATGATCTCTGCAGATAAAAAGGAATGCAAGTGTCGGACGCATGCATACGGAGTATTGGACTCAGATCGGCCACCTCACCGCTTAACTGCCATGGCAAAATACCTTTTTTTCTGGAGCCGGGGGTTGCCAGCTTCACCAAAGGCTTGCTCCGTGTACCGGGATTCACGGCACCTCGAGGTTCGGCAGAAGGTCTTCCGTGACGGCGTTCTGTACCAGTCCTTGTCCGTTCTTTTGCTGGTCGCCTGAATCACTGGTGACCGGCATCGAGGATTGTTTGGACCCGCTCAACGGAGACATTATGGCGGTTGGGCTGGCTGAACCTGCAATGGACGAGAAACCGCTGGACCAAGACCGAGACAATTGGCACCACAACAAATGCAAGGTGTTTACAATTCATCATCAAGTTGAAGCAGAGCAAAGAATGAACCAGGGGCGTGTTTTCTCGCAGGGGCCCCGTTCCCGTCTTGTCATAAAATGGCACTCTCCAGGCCAGATCAACGCGCATTCTTCAGCCTGCAGGTCGCCGTGCATGCAGGCGAGGTCTCGTGGTGCGATAGTACCTGGACAAAGAACACCACTTGCTTGCTTCGTAGTTCTGTAGATATCTTGAGGCCAGTGTCACGTCACACATGTACGTGCAAACGAGGCATCAAACGGCCCATGACATACACAGTATTTTCTTCAAGTCCCTCCTGTTTATTGAATTGAGGTGTGGACAAGGCAATAATTGGCTTGATCCTTTGCCGAAGAGGGGAATGAAGCGGAAGTGACAAGGGGCTGACTGACGGCGGCTCCTTTTCCAATATTGGCAAAGAAATCGGCTTCTGCGCCCCTTTTACCAAATTCGCACTGTAATTGTGTACCGCAGGATGACATGCAGCCCCCGGGATGGCGCGAAGTGTCCAGCGACCGTGCCGCGCCGTGAAATTGCGACGTGGCAGGCTTTGATGGATGGATGCAACTGTAGCTGCAGCCGCCAACCCTTGTTCTCGTTGTTTTTTTTCCCTCCCTCCCCTACAGGCCCAGGATTCCTTCTGCATGCAGTGTTGTATTTTTATTTTGTTGGTGGTCTAGAGAGCCAGATATTTGGGTCGCTGCCACGCCATAAGAGAAAAAATGACTGCTCGACTTTTCTTGACACCCCCCTGGGCTGACCCCCCTCCGTTATCACATTGCAAGTCGACAAGCAAATCAAATCCATGAGACGGTAGCCTCGCCTGTCTCATTAAGGTATGGCGGCCCGACCATTAAAGCCACGGCGCCCGAGGAAAATTGGGACTGATTGCGGGAGACATGCAGTCAACTCGAGCTAGCAAGGATCTTCCGCATGAGTTTCAGCTCACGTGATTGCTGGCCGACGTGTGCGATTGGCGGACCGGGCCTTGCCTCAGCCAGGCCTCTGGAGGTGGACCCTCCAGATGGAGTCGAGATTGTGACAAGCGAGCGTGGCGGCAGCTTATGATGCAAGCCGCAATGTCAATCCTGACGCCAGCCCCGGGGATTCGGAACAGCCTGAACATCATTGCGGCGCAGATATTTGATATGGCGTTCGTGGAAATAAAAGAGTTTGTGGGCGTGATATCCTTTAGCTGTATTGCTTTTTAGCTATTGTCGAAAGATCTAGTCCACCGCCAAAACTGAATTTTATGCCATCTCTGCACGTCTGCATCAGTACATAGGCTATACAGAGCGCCGTGCAGTAGAGTAACTGTCTCAGTTGTTGACTGTCAGCTTTGCTTTGTGTTTCCTGACCAACCGATTCGCAAGCTGTCAGCATGGGTCAGACTGGTTGTATTAGCCAGCTTCCAAGGTGAATCATACATGGATATGTGAGTTACATAGAATACAAACCAGCTTTACCGCATGATGACGAGGTCGTTGCTTGTTTCTGATGCATGGCACTAATCGTATTTCATCTGGCTCCACGACATGCCGTGAGTCTTCTTCGTATGAGGACTTGGGTACTCCGTACTGAAGTGGATTACCGATCGTTTCTCTAGTGACGCTTTGGCGGCGTTAGACCCTCGCCTTTTTGCTGCATATATGTTATTGATTGGCCCCCATCAAATAGTGGACTCGTGAACTCTATGGCCCGGCCCGTTTGCTGTCAACCCATGGCATGCGGTAGCTGTTGATGGTATGTACTGTGTCCCGGACGGAGATCGTCGAGTCGAAGGGGCCGACCGAAACTACGCTTGTTATTGGTCACGGGGACCTAAAGGGAAAAGCAAGTGTAAGTTGAGACACGGCAAGAGAACAACAGCTTGCCATGAAATAAAAGAGTGTGTCCGATTGAGACCTGCATCAAGGAGGAGGGTGTGCTGAAAGATCCAAGAGGCTTAGCTGAGAATCAGTCCATTAACATGACAAAGTGCCTCGCGTCGCAGGCAAGAAATTTCCAGTGCCCATTCCACTGAAAGCGCGATATCGAAAAAGAAGGTGGCAGGCACTGACATTTAGTTGGTAGTTGGAAGGTACCACCGAAATCAAACGTGTTTACAAAGGAAGGTACCTTCCTTCTGCCACCAGACGCCCGTGCCCGAACCGCAATGCTCACCTTCCCTAAGTACTATGATAAGACATGCCTCGGATATTTCAACAAACCCAAAAAGAAGTATCCCGACTTCTTTTATGAGTCAGACATCCATCCTTGGATATTATGTTTCTTGAGAGAATTATAATTTCTGTTTTGGGGTATTTTCAGTGGCAATGGGCAACCAACATCAGTGAGAAACGGGGGCGACAGGGGTTCAATGCACTCAGCTTAGGGCACCCTCTACCTCTACAATCATATTTCCATCCAGCGACAAGACGAAACATCCAATGCCATTACTTTGAATTTATTACCCCACTGATCTTATACTTTTTTTTTTTGGCTGCTCTAGGTACTGAATAGGTACATAAGGTACTAATGTATGAGAGATTCACCAGCAAGCCCTGACAACATCGCCCACAGTGGATGCTGGCAAGTCCACTGTCACAGTGCCTCAACAGATTTCCCTGCAGCCAGAATCGATCATGTGAGCGACGATCAAGAAGCCAAGGGTATTCCGGGATCCCATCCGGTTGTTTTTATTCGACCAACAATATTCACAAGCCCCTGGCAGATAAGTCTCTCGCTCCAGGCATGGAACGGTTGTCGTTGTGATGATTGACTTCCATGGCTAAGGCCCTGGTCTCCTTTCCTTCTTCCTTGTTAGGGGCTAGAGAAAGAAGGCTCAACGATTAGGCTGTCGACAGGAGAAAGATCAGTGCTCTGATAGGCCAGCTTCCTCGTAATCTCTCCCACAAAACAAAGTCACTATCGACAGGGATTGGCAGCTCCGCTCATCTGGTTGTACGGAGTACATACCAGGGCCTCATCAACACTCTGCTCCAGTTCTTCGGATGGATCGAAACTCGCACATGCAAATGCATCAATAGCAATGCACCATCTCATTGTAGCTGTTGAATGCACATCCTGATCCTTACTCCTTTTGTACTTCAGGATTGGGCTATTTGCTCGGCAGCGGAATGTCTCGGTTCAATGTACATACCTGGCCACGCATTCCATGTCCGCCTGAGTCTAGCGCACCACGTCTGCTGCAGGATGAACATCAACGCTGGAAGGCTGGCCAAAGATGAAACGACTTAATTGCAACACCTTTGTCAAGTCTGGGCATGACGCCCC